CCCCCCCCCCCCCCCCCAAGTCAAAAAAAAATTTGCTTATTGCTGGTTGCTCTTGACCTTATCTTTTTAAATATGGAGTTTTATATTGCTGGTATCATTAGGAAAGAAAGAAAGTACAAATTTTAATATTAGACTTAGACTAAGTAGTGGGTCACTCTTTGATAAGTGAACTAGGTACTGGCTCCTCCTGAGCCTGAAAAGAATTAAGACGTTATGAAAATATGAGGAGGAATTATGGCCTAACTGGCACAAACAAATGTTGCTCTGTTTTACCTCTCGAGCTGCATCTTCTTCTCAGCAATAAGAGTTTGAAGCTGCTGCTGTTGGGCCTCTCTTTGTTTCGCCACAGACTTCAACAAGTTCCTGGCTCCAATTGCCTAAAGGGAGCAACAAGTTTCTCTCTCAGGTCAGACAGTGAGTGGCACACAGTGTAAGCATATCAGACACTTTAAATCCTGAAGAGTTGTGTCATGTCTAACTGACGGAAAACTAACTGAAGACAGGATGTTTTACTCAGGGTTTCCTCCAGGTGCTCTGGTTTCCTCCCACAGATTAAAAACATGAATGTTCGACTGCCTTAAGGCCCAGGCCTCCATTGCAAAAGAGATCTGTGATTTCAACGGGCTTTGACAGGTTAAATAAAACTTCATCCATCCATTCTTTTACCCGCTTCTTCCATTTTGGGTCACGGGGGTCGCCGGTGCCCATGTCCAGCAATCACCGTGTGAGGGGCGGGGGACACCCTGGACGGGTCGCAAGTCCATCACAGGGACACATAGAGACAAATGAGACGAACAACCATTCACTCTCTCACTCACACCTAGGGACAATTTAGAGTTACCAATCAGCTTAACATGCATGTTTTTGATCTGTGGGAGGAAACCGGAGCACCCGGAGAAAACCCACGCATGCACGGAGAGAACATGCAAACTCCACCCAGAAAGGGCCCTGGACCGGGGTTTGAACCAAGGACCTGCTCGCTGAGAGGCAGCAGCTCTACCAGCTGCTCCACCGTGCTGCTAAATAAAGCTTAATAAAATAAATGAAAGTCTGATAGGTCATGGAGAGAAGCCGTCCAGGGTGAAGGAGGCAGGTGGAGGTGGGTTCACCACAGTGCAGACATGTTCAGCTGGATCAAAGCACTGCCATATATGCATTTAATAATCATGCTGCAGTTCTGTCAGCGTTACCTTCATCTTCTCTGTCTCGGCTTCTTTTGCCAGGCCATCCACCAGCTCAATTAGGCCACCTACGATCTTCTGAAACTGTCCAATTTCTGCAAAGTTAAGATAAATACTTGTACACACTGTTGAACCTTTTATTGCTGAAAGGAAAAACAGGCACAACCTGACATGGTCAACAAAATCCTGCATACTTACTGTCCACAAATTCTTTGCACTCCTCCTTCAGCTCTGATGTCTTCTGGCTGACATCAGGCTCCAAAACCCTCAGCTTGTTGAGCTCATCAAAATAAAAGCCTGCCTCGGCTAATGGGTCTTTAGCCATGGCCCCAAGGCCTGTCACAGAAGACCGAACGAATGGAGTGAAACAACAAACAACTGCTCTACCAGACAGAAACACACATCTGGTTAGAAACGTCAACAGGCTGCGGCCGACGGACACACACTTCACCGAGCTGACAGATGAAGTGCTTACTAATCATCACAACAAGAGAAGCTGCTGGTCACACCAGCCACATGTGATCTGTCATGTTGCTGGTCATACCAGCCACATGTGATCTGTCATGTTGCTGGTCATACCAGCCACGTGTGATCTGTCATGTTGCTGGTCATACCAGCCACGTGTGATCTGTCATGTTGCTGATCATACCAGCCACATGTGATCCGTCATGTTGCTGGTCATACCAGCCACGTGTGATCTGTCATGCTGCTGATCATACCAGCCACATGTGATCTGTCATGTTGCTGGTCATACCAGCCACGTGTGATCTGTCATGTTGCTGGTCATACCAGCCACGTGTGATCTGTCATGTTGCTGGTCATACCAGCCACGTGTGATCTGTCATGTTGCTGATCATACCAGCCACATGTGATCTGTCATGGAGAATGGTGAATCATTTTACCATCAGCGTTGTCGCCAGAATTTTCGAGTTAAGCGTCTTTGTTAGGAAAAGCCTGGTTTTATATCAGCTTCTTCAGTCCAGATCGCAGTGAATTAATTGAGCATTGAATCAGCTCCTGGTCCTCCGGACACTGAGAGCTGAATGCCTCGGCTCTGATCGTTACCTTCTTGTTAGCTACTTGCTTTATGCTAGCTACTTAGCTATCACGCTAGTCGCCTCGCAAAGCTAAGTGAACAAAGCGAACTGTTCTTGTAGAATATCAAAGTTAGATTTATATAAACAGCTTTACTGATCCGTGGCTACTATTTTAAGCGAATTAAATGAAGATGTTTTACCTGTTTGAGCCGTTAGTGTTGTGA